CCCTCCTACTCCCGTATCCTAATATGGATAAAGGTTACATTGGGTGAGGAATAGTACGTGCCTTGGGCAGGGCGTCCCCCACACCAAGGGCCATTAGTAGGACGTCTCCCACATCAGGCTGGTGCGCGTAACAGCAGGGTCGTTGTGATTAGGGGCTGATGCGTGAAATGTAACCTCACGAGGTGTGATCGCGTGACGCCGTGCAATCGCGCATTTGGCAAATTTAGTTTTATTAGTTTTGCTCAGCATTTCTCCGACATGCTGTTATGCGGAGGACTCTGCATCAAGTCCTCCAATGCCATGTTGCTCCTTCACCCAGGGCAGCAAGAGAACACACAATTTAATATCAACAAAAAGAGAGGAGCGGTGGGTAGAGGTGACACCAAACACAACCCAATTTACAATAAGCTGGGATTGGACAATGAAGACAATGGCAGTGGCGCAACCTAGAGTTCTCCAGCCACTCATGCAATGTTCGAATCATTGGTTATTGAACACTAACCTGGCTACATCGATTACTGATTCGTAATCCAATGATTGAAATTAAATGATGGCATCTGAGAATTTCATTTCAGGGATGCCATCAACGTCACAACTGAGTGACTGTCAATACTTCTTGATGTTTCACTGGCAACGTTTTAGTCGTTATACTTGTTGTTAGTCATTGTACCATATCAACACAATGATGGATTTGTGGCTTATATATGGCACCTGACTGGGACCAACCCACATTTCGCCGGTCAGGAGAACATGAACAGCCGCTCAGATTGCTAAAAGGCGAGCAAGCACATTGTTATTCACTGATTTTTTAGTGATGACACTTATGAAAATTGTATATGACGAAGGAGACGCGCTATGTCCCAAATGAAGAAGAAAAAACGGCAAAAATGCGTGGCGATGTTGCCATACTGGTTAGCGAAAGTCATCTCCAATATAGGGATAATACGAGCCCTGCTTGGTGCACATTATGGCAAAAGACACCTTTCAAAAAGCAGAAGACATGGGGAAGAGCTGGCCACTTCATCACAAAACTAATGTGATCGGTGATGGAGAGAATACTGATAATATAGGCTAAGTTGCAACTGCTGAATGGCAACAGAATAGGCCAAAAAGGACGGTCATTATGCTTCGAAAATGGCTCCCATTCATGGCAGAATTCTGGGCAGAACATGCAGTTTCAAGAGGGTCCCAATGGTGGGGTGCAGTTGGGCAGCAGTGCTTACCCGATATTGATGATTAGGTGAACTGGTGAATGTACAAATATTGTCCCTTGGGGTGCGCGTCCACGGCTGCCATCATGTGTCATGTGTCATGTCGTACGATGTTGTTCGGCAACCTTGGACGCCGAGTCTTAGGGCGCCTCAGAAGGCGGCGGCCACTTGCGGCGAAGCGCTTGAACATGGCTGTGAGAGCATGGCTGCCAAGGCCTGAGAGCGATGATGACGATGGCGGAATCGAATGGCCTACGTTGCGATGCTTGCATGGCAGCTGGCTGCCTCGCTGTGCATGGAATTGAACGCCCACGAGGGGCTATGATGAGCCCAAGCGACGCTGGGACTCATGGGGAGCTGGACTACATTGGAAGGCTTTCCCAGAGATGGCGGGCGCGAACGAGGCGCTGGCGTCCATGGCGGAGGCATGGGGCAGCAGGCGATGGCAGGCTCATGCGAATTGCGGGCGGCAGGGCGCATGGTGCACGCCGATTGGACAGGAGGCCATGGGATCGAATCAGGAGGGCGCTGATGCTGTCCTGGAGGCCACGGGGCGGTCGTCATAACAAAGGAATGCAAGTGTGACACGGGTTTCGGATGTCTGGAAGGTTCGGGAACGATGAATACTAACGAAGGAGCGACATGCCAGCTTATTGATCATCTGGCTGCTCGGGAAGGATCTTAGAAAGTTCTTGAAGGTTATGGAATAGCTGGCCAGCTTATAAATAGAGAGGGGGCTGTCGCCACAAAAACATCCACCCACCGTGGGAGCTGACCTTCGGGCTATTGTTTTGGACCAAAATGTAATATATACCTCGTTGACCGCGGGAATCTTGGAGCGACTCCTTGTGTGTGAACGTCTAAGTGCCGTCCAAATCCAGTCGTTTCAAGCAACCGACTTCGGGAACGCGCTAGGGGCCGAATCTGAGAGTGCGGGCACTGCCCCATTGTCGTACAGCACGTGGCGCGTCGATTTACGACGCTTACAGCGATCGTGACGTTGCACTGCGTTCGCATGGCGATTCGGTGAGTTGCATGAGCAGTTAGTGAACAGTGGTCGTGAGGAAACGAACGTCGGACGCCCTCGAAGCGTACGGGTATGTGTCGCAGCTGCAAAGGAATGCATTAGGTCAGGTGACCTGCTGTACCGATCATGGGCGGTTTGAGCCACCGTCACCACAGACACGACGCCGGCGACACTCAAGCGCCAGAAATCGTTACAGGGTCCCCTTGCAAACCCTCCTGGATCGTTCATGCTGAAATGCTAGAAAACGATCCCTAAATCCTGCTGCATGTCGCTGATAGTGGCACGAGCCAGGCTGGAATGGAGCACCGCCCTCCACCCCGCTGCTTCAGAGAATCTGTATCCGCTGCTGAAAGGCGTTGCCGTCCCTCAGTCGAGGTGCAGCGCGATGATCGACGTGGATCCGCGACCTGTGCCATTTGTGAAGTGAGCCATCGCCTGATTGCACGTCAGTTGGCTACGATGAACAATGATCAACGTGTAATTTAGGCCGACAAAGGCTGAGCCGGTCGGTGGAGACATTGTGGCTTCAATGACCAGCATTGTTTGCTCACGAACACTGAATTGAGGTGCCTCGCTTCGGCAGCACCTGTGCGAGGAAGTGGAAAGCTTGGATCCTCACATTAGTGAGGCAGCAGCAGCAGCTCCCCAGCCCCAATGGGCAGCTGCACATGGAGGCTGCTTTGACACAGTTCACATGACTGGAGATCGGTGGCAGAACACCGATGTGCAGGAAATTCAGTGATAAAATTGAATACAGAAATGGGAGCCACATTGAGGAGATGAAAGTCTAACACACCAAGATAACTGCAGCTGCCGTGTTGTGCAAGCAGCTGGTCATGTGCTCGCTGACTGGTGCACGTATTGACCAAAAGACTTGACTTGTGCTGCGTTGTGGCCCATCGCAGTGCGCATTCGATTGCGACGATTGCGACGAGCGGCATCTTGCACCTGGATGGCCAAGAAACTTTGGCATGCAGGCATATCACTTGACGCCACAGGACTTCTTTCAAGACCTGATTTACATCGTGTGACCGGCAAACTCAAAAAAGAAACGAAAGCAGGGCAATGGGAGATTTTACAAATGTGGGGCCAGGAGTAACAGTCCTGGTTTTGACATGCAGCTTTGTCCAGCAGCATCGTATCCTCTTCCTGTATGGTTCCTTCCATTCCCTCCGCAGAAATGGTGCATTCGATTGGTTCTAAATGGCACACAGTCATTTCCGCTGAAGAGCCCTTTTCGTTTCAAATCTCACAAGGCCACAGGAACCCATGCTCAAGGCGAAGGCTCTCGATCAAACACATATGTCCCAGAAAGACCAATAGCCCTGCCTATCAACATGTCTTCATCCAGGTAAGTTAACATATAGTCGCCACCTTCCATCCTAGGAAGTGCTGATCGTCGTGGCAAGGAGAATTGCAGAGAAAACTGCCAACCAGGCACACCACTTATGCATCAGTTGCAGTGACAGCCGTTTAAACGAACAAACAACAACTCAGGTGAGGACGAGTCCCTGCAAGAAGCACCCAATGCCAAGTCGCTTCCAGAAGCGAAGTAATCCCTAGCAAGGCCAGGTAGCCACCATCAGCAACCGTCATTTGGCTGCCCCTTGGTACTTGACCTCCATGTGCATATTATGAAATGCAAGAGACCTCCATGATAAGGGGTAAGCAATAGCAAGCCAGCTACAGTCACAAAACCCATCAGACATGTATGGAATCCAAAGGCCCCAGACCTCAGGTGCACAGAATGCGGGCTCCAATATACGACCAAGGATAACGCTACGTTTCACTGGTGTGGAGAAGTGGAACATGCTCTACCCCTTCATGGACCTGCACTGGCATATTTCAGGTGCGACGCCTCTTCATATGTTGGTGTTAACACACAGCAGCTCTCACCTCTTTCAACGCCAGAAGTATTTGATGGTTGACAGACGTCCGTGGCAACATTGCTGGTGCTATCAAGGCCTCAAGCTCTGGACTTATCTTGACGTCACTAATTCCTGCAGATTCAAACTGTAGGGCGAGCCGCCGGGAGCTGCTGATGTTAAATCTGTGGTGCAATGGAGAAGGGAAGCGTTGGCAGGCTCACAACACAAGCTATTTGTGTGCATAAATTCCGCATCCATGCACAAATAGAAGGTAGAAACGGCAAAGGGCCATGTTGACGACAAGTCACACTGCACTGCTACCATCTCATTAGCCTGCCTGCCTGCCTACAAAAGAGGGCACTAAACAATCACACACCCACTGTCAAAGGTAGACATTTTGGTGTTTCATGCTGCAGGCAAACACAAATAAAGTCCAAGAGCTTACACAGCATAGCAACATTGACACAACAAATGGCATTCTAGACTCACATGTTCAATGTGACAGATGCGGAATGGCAAGCAAATTACAGCACATCTCCAGTGCAGAGCTACAAGATGAAATGGAACTGCGAGTGACTGTTTTCCATGCCCAATGATGGAGTGACAGGACGGTACTAAAGCATGGAAACACCGTGGTGCTGCATCAAATATCATCAGCACATGATGCCTACATATCGTCCACATCCGTTGTTGCTCACACATGACATGCAATTCTGCATTGCTCTATACTGTTACGCTTTTGATGCATCTTGGTGCGCATTCGTCAATCTTGGTGCAAGCATCCTAAAACACTATCAACCACAGATCAGCTACCCTTGCGATCAGTTATGCGCATGTGCATCTTGCATGTTAACCAAAGGACTGTGTATAGGCCCTTATGGTCCGTTGATACTCCATGGGCATGGCTGTGGCACGTGCCATAGTCAAAGTTACCACTGCCACCACCACCAGATGTTTCAGGCAACTTCACCATCCAACAATATCCTCATACATAAACGTCTTGAAAATGTAGACGGATCAGGAACCTGGCTCTCAGATCTAAGCCTGAATTTGGTACAGGAGTAATGTGTGCTGTGGCTGAATCCAGTGGGCAGCTTGAGGCCAGTGGCAATGCAGCAGAATGCTTTCTGAATGCAACCCTGTGAGTACACTATTGCTGTGGTGCCAAATCTACAATCAACCCACTTGCCACTGACAGTTAGTGTCACGCCTTCGTTCTCCAAAATGAAAGGGACACTGCAGCAAATGATGTTCTGCAAGGTGCCCTCCTCCACGGATGAAAATTGCTGAAAGATGCTGCAGACTCGCAGAGGACGTGGCACCAAGGACGATCTTCCTTCGGGATGAACATCCCCAAACTTTAAAAGTGGCACCTGAATCAGGATGCAAGGAGCAGTACTTACAAACAAACTCCCAAATTTTCAGCCTGTGTGAAGTTGCAGGCAACACAACCTGTTTCAGCTGGGGAGGAGGATGTTTGGCTCTGCAGACCTGTAAAGCTACAATCACAACCCTTAATCATAAGCATGCAAACAGGATGGCAGCTCACCACATCTATTGCATCGGTGTACAGAAGCCTCCACTTGCCAGGAAGCAACTGGTAGTCCAGAGGAGCAGCCAGAACTTCCACTGCGACCTGAGCAACACAGATTGTCATGCGCAGAGAAGCACAGCATGCAATAAACTGCAACATAAATGTTAAGTGTGGAAGCTGCCTTGCAACTGGGTGTGCCAATGCGATGCTCTGAATGCTGTGGAATTGCCGTCTGAGCTTATCCTCAACCCCCATACTGCTTCTCTACACAACCTCCCCAAAATGCAAATATCTGGTGTGTGCGCAGCTGGCCTTCTGGGCCTCAACATACACAATCCACAATTCTCCCTTGCACTATAGCGCCATGCAGACCACACCATGTTTTACAATGATGTAGCACATCTGGATTCAACAGCAGCTTTTCTCATACCAAAATTTGGACAACACTCCGGCTTTGCAAGGCAGGGTGCAACATTACGAACTAGCAGTCTGACACTCCTCCAGGCACCTGTGCTTCAGCTATTGCCCCTCTCTGTGGTGCATCGGCACGTCGCCCCCGACCACTGCTAGACACAGCATGCCTCAAGGCAGCTTTTGCTGCAGCCACATTCTGCTGCCTCTCCTCCTCATCTGCAAGAATAGACTGCCTTGTCAATGAGATAGTTTTCGACAATGACAACCCTTCATAAGACCTAGAAGTGTCTGGTTATGATCATTCCATAACAACACATGTGGTTAACGTAGTTGGACAATGGCTTGTCCCACACCAAGACTGTGGCCATCTATGAGAACATGTACTGGGAAGAAGTGCCAACCCCAAAAAGCAGGAACGTGGTATCCACCAGAGCCGGGAAAGCGGCAGCACAGAAGCAGCACAAGCTGTAACATGCGACAATCACACTGTGCCCAGCAGCCCAATCATGTACTGAGAACTTCAATTCAATATCTGGACACCCTGGAACCCATTTCACAGATTTTGCTGCCCACATTCAGTCCGGCAGGTGAAAAACACCTGTCACATTCCATAGCATTGGCACTCAAGAGAAGCACATCTTGATGCCCTGTTTGCACATATTCTGTGCGGCCACAAAGTATTGAAAACATAGTTCACTTCTGATACAGAGTGAGCAACATTCTAAAGTTGCCAATGATGCCCAATTGTCCATGGATCATCCAGTATGGGACTAAGCACGGCAGCTCTCACAACCTCAAAAGCAATTCTGTAAGGACAGGGGCAGCACCTGGCTTCTCGAACTGTGGTGCATAATCTTCAATACAAAACAGCGGTACCAAGCAACCCACTCACACCCCAAAAGGTAAGAATCCTGGCCAACGGCTCGGTGCTGCCTAGTTACAGGAATGTAGAGCATGTGGGTCGATGCAGTTTGTGGGGTGCAAAACCAACAGCAATCTGCCTCGAGGACATTGTGAAGGTGCTGAGGCCAGTGATCGTCCATGTATGTGTCTTGTCCAGATACGGCAATGAGTGAATTGGGGCCTCCAGCGAACGCTCCACTGCCCCTAGTGAGTGGTCTAGGTGTGCCCTTACATTCACAATTTCGTCACTGCGCCCAGAGTCGCATTCCTTTCGCAAGGGTAGCCACACACCCCCATGTGGGTAACCAACTCACCATCGCCATCTCCCTTGGCAGCAGACCTACTCCTGGCACTAACACGGTTCCGCGAGTTCGCTTCAGAAGCTGTGTTGTGCCGCCGTATAAAGATTGATCTATTTCTCAGGGACTGCCGAAGGCCTGAGGTTGCGGTGCCAGACGAGTGACGAAAAACGGGCGTTGCGCCCATGACGGAGTACAGCGTCCTCTTTGCGGAGAAAGACCTCTTCCTTGAGCGTGTGCTCCTGTTGCGATGGCCGCAATTGATCCTCTCGCTGTTTGCCAGGTCGGGGATCCGACGACGACTTTCAACGGCAATCGCAAAAACGCAACTGCCTGGGACACTTGCCTGGCGCCGCACCTGCAAGCGGCGGCACAGTCAGTTCTCCAGCAGCTCGAAGTTGACGAGCGCGCGTCGCGTGCTTTGGAGACGTGCTGGCACGGCCGTCCACTCTCAGGAGGCGAGTAGCGGAGGGGGAGAGGGCCATGCTGTTGGACGCCCCAGCGCCACACAGGGGACGCCGCGTTTGTCCAGCGCCGCAAACATGTTGAGTCGGATGTGAGACGTTCCCGTGCAGCCCGGACGCAAACACGTAATTCGCACAGGAAGGCGCCGTCCCCAAGTTCCTAACCTGTGCAAATCTTCCCCAGGAGGCAAGGCGGTGGCTGCGCATCCACGCAAGGGGGGGGGAGGGATGGCGCTTCGTTGGCGCGGCCAGCAAATGCGGGCACCCTGCGGCGCGAAGAGCACTGCGCGCTGGCCGCACTGCGACCTCACGTCGAGGCCCAGAGCCAATCCTGCGGCGATCTTCGCCGCCGCCCATCACCGCCGGGAGCGGTCCCACAATGCAACGACCATTGGCGCCCGCCTGATCCTGTGCCTGGCTGCGAGCGAGGGGAGCGCGGCTGGACCGATCCCCGGCGGCGATGAGGCAGAACAGTCGGTCGGCGTGGTGAGGCTGCCGCCCAACGACCCTGGCGCGGGGGCGGAGGTCTTCCTCTTCGGCGTCGAGCACGCCGTGGGCAGCGTTGGTGCGGCGGCTCTGGGGCGCTTCATCCTGGAGCGCCGCCCCGCCGAGGTGGTCGTGGAGACCGCCGTGTCCACTGATCACGGCTCGCGCACCGGCAACGTCGTCCGGGCGATCGACGGGATGGCGCGCGACGCCGCTCGGACGGCCCCGATGCTCGCCAGCTGCTGCGGCGTGGCGATGCGCCTGCGGCAGGTCGGCGAGCGGGCCACGCTGAACGTGCTCGAGCGGCTGGGGAGGGACCTGTACGGCGAGCAGCTGGCGTACACCGCAGCCTTCGCTGCGGACGCGCAGGTCGTCTTCGGGGATCGGCCAAAGGCGGAGACGTGGAGGCGGCTGAGCGCGGCGGCCACGGTGCCGGACCTGGACGACTACTACGCGGGCGCGGTGGAGCTCAACTACAGGGGGGTGCTGGAGCCCGGCGCTCCGCGCGTCAGGGAGCTGGACGCCGCCGCGGTAAGCACCGTGGAGCGGGTGCTCCTGCTGGAGCGGGACGCCGTCATGTGCGGGTCGCTGGCGGCGGCCTCGGCGCGCGTGGGCGCGGGGGGGTGCGTGTGCGGGGTGGTGGGTCTGGACCACCTGGAGGCCGTCGCAGGGCTGTGGGCCAGCGGCGGTTCCGATGACGTCCTGTCATCGGCTGAACCTGCTGGCGAGGAGGAGGAGCCGGGGAGCCGACGGTGGTGCGACGGCGTGAAGCGGGGCATTATGGAGAACGCGGTGGGCCTGGGCGCCCTGGAGGGGGTCCTGCAGGACCTGAGGACGACGCTGGGCCCCGTCGCTGACGACCAATTGGAGGCCTACACGCTGACGGAGGAGATTTACGCGTCCCAGCGCATGCAGCTGGCGTGCCTGCCCCGGGACCTGCTGGAGAGCGTGTGCGGGGGACGGGAGGTCAGCATGTGGTCGACTCTGGAACCCCTTCGCCGCCTGCGGCCTGTGAACGGGGGGCCCGGCTATGACGCCGGGGTTGCAGAGGACTTGAGGATGTTGAATTTTGAAGTTGGGCAGTACCCAGCGGACTCCGACGCTGGAGGGTCCCTTGCCCCCCCGGCCTCGGCCTGCTTCTCATCGTGTCCGTAGCATTGCTTGATCGCTCCAGCGAAAGCGCCGACGCGCTCGAAAAGAACACTGCCGTAAGTTGGGCGCCAGCACAGGTCCAAGATGAGGAGCACGTTGCGCATGACGTGTGTCCTGATATCTGTCAAGGCGGCAACGGAGAGGAGCACCATTCAATTCAGTTCAAGAAATCAAAGAGAAGAATTGAAGGTCAGCACTACCACAACGACGCATAAGGATATGGCTGAATGCAGGGAATGAAACACCTTTGAGAGGTTAGGTCGGCCGACTTGGAATCGGTGATTCCCTCCGTGTTTCAATACCTGGATGTCCACCCCTGTGTGCCGCCCTGCCTTACTGCAGTCAGAGGTGAATGTGGACATCAGGTGCCAGCCAAGGTCGGCAACGAGACCCAAAATTTGCCTGTGTTAGGCCGCACTTTCGCTGGTGTTAGTCTGTGGTTCATAACTTATTGCACATGGGCAAAGTCCGCCAGTTGTGGGTCCCCATTGTACGAATCGCGCATGCAACCATCCACAGTCATTGAGCCCATCCTTCTCTTCAAATGTTGGCTGCAAAGCAATGCAGCCAGAAGCACGATGATTTGACAACAAGACAAACACCACGTGGCTGTGCATGCAAAAACTTATGGCATAGTTCCCCCACCCTGGCCACAAAATTGTTGGCAAGCCGAAATACCGCATCAGTGCAACGGCAAGAAACTTCACAAACATGTTGGTTGGTAATAATCCCGTACTTTAGCTATGGTTGGGGATGTGTCTGCCCACTCAAATCGCTCATTCGCGCTACAACGGACATTAGGGATGGTACCCGGCCTGGTAAAACCGGACCCGGGTACCCGGAGTTTCCGGAACTTGGGTACCCGGGTGTACCCGGGTAACCCGGGTACGCCCAATACCCAGGCACCCGCGAATAACTGGGTACCCGGGTACAACCAGTACCCGGGTCCGGGTATGTACCCGGGTACGGAAAGATGCTCCCCTGCGCCGACGCAGCGCTGGCTGGCCGCGCTCCGCCGCGCTTGCCCGGCAACGGAGTCTGCGACGACGACGGCGCCCCTCGCCTGACGTTGTCTTCCACAGACCGTGCGTTCTTCTGGAACAATCCGGAAAGGGCTGCCGCCCTATGGTCAACGATCGCGTTGACGATCCAGAAAGAACAACAACCACAATAGCGACAACGCAACTATACAGCTGTAAGGCATCAACGACAACAACGCCCAAACGCAATCGCCGATCCATCTAGTTCAGGTTGCAGGGCATGTCCTGCGTGCACCAACCGTTTCGCATTTGAAACGGACGACCTGCAATCCCCAAAGGGCAGCTCTGGCGCCAGGGCAGCAGCACAGCCGGTATCCTACGGACCAACCCGTCGGGGCTCAGCTGCATTTTCTGCAGACAGCTGGCTGCCGCAGGTGTGTAGAGATGTTCCAACCCGTCAGATTCCCCGACTCCGGCTCGCCGGTGCCACTGGATCGACCAAGCAGCACCAAGTTGATGTTCCAACCAGTCAGATTCTCCGATTCTGGCTCGCCGGCGCCCCCAGATCTCCAAACGCGCGGACCAAAGAAGTGTGTGTGGAGAGCATCGGCGCGGTGCACCGTCGCGACGCAGCCACACACAGTGTGGACGGGGGCGACCTTCGGAAACCAGCGCGGTGCGAAGCTATGCATCGGGCGACCGCTGGTCAAACGTGCTGTACCCGGGTCAGTACCCGGACCCTGGTACTGGCAGTATCCGGGTAATCCGGGTACCCGCCGATACCCGCCTGTACCCGGGTACGTACCCGTACCGGCCTATACCCGCAACGGCCTACCCGGGTACAAGGGTTGGCGGGTACTCGGGTAGGCGGGTACTGGAAAAAACAATACCCGCCCCGGGTACCCGGGTTTCCTGTACCTGGGTACCATCCCTAATGGACATGCGTAAGTGGTGGCCGCTTGGCAAATCCAACGACACAGGGAAAGCAGTGCAAGAAAGTCGGTACATTGGCAGGTTGCCAAGAACGTGAGGGTTGTGTAGGAACTTTACCACAAACATCTAGTCTTGCAATTTTTACGACTCTTTGGAGATTCTTTGCATCTGGGTGAGTCGCCGGATGAGGAGTTCACTCTGGTCGAGACAACAGAGGGCTTTTTAAGAGACAATCTTTGGGACAGTTGAGCATCATCGTTTGGGTGCGACGCCTGATTGGGAATCCTTGGCCAAGTTGGTCGGTCAACCCTTTTGGAGGCCGCTTCCACGCCCATGCGAATGTGGCTGGCGTCCTCCATGCCGAAGGGTCCACGGCGCCACTTCCTGCCGGCCCTCGACCTACTTTGGGCCGGCGTCCGCCGTCCCTTGGGGCCGTCCAAGTCCACGCCACGTCCCCGGGATCCATCAAGCCGCCAATCTTCCAGTAACGCGCCGCCATCACGCGCCCGCGACCGGCCGCCGCATCGATTTGATGCAAGCGTGCGCCAGGCGGCAGGCAGCCCCGTGCGCCGGGTGCCCGCCCTTGTCAGTCCCCCGCGCACAGATGCCCCCCCTTCCGATAATCCCCTCGGCCGGGAGACACTGGCCCACTCCCCACCGCCCCAGCCCGCGGTGCGCCAAGCGCCCGTAAGGCACCCGCCCGGCAGCAACAGACGCAGGGCGCGGCGGAGGCGGGGTTGCGCGGCGGGATTGTTGGGACTGGCGGGACCCTACTGGCGACGGGGGCCACGACGGCGGCCGCCATTGGGAGGCTGGGGACCTGCGGGCGGCGGAGGCGTCGGGCGCGGATCTGCCGCGCTCACGGCCGGGGTGGCGGAGCGCTGGGGCCGGCGGCACGGTGTCGGCGCGAGCGGGGGATTGGTGCGGGCGCGGTTTGAGCAGCGGATCTGCCCGACCAGGGGCCACGCGGGTGCGACCCGGGCGAAGGGAGGGCGCCGAGGGCCGCGGGAATCCGTGAGCGGTGGGCGTGAAGGGCACGGGCGCGACAACCATGAGCATGAGCGATCGGGACAGGCTGATGATTCACCAGGCCTCGCTCAAGCAGAAGGGGGAATCCACGCCGAGGAAGGGCAGCAAGCGCGTGCGAAAGGCCATCAAGAACGCCAGGGGCCTCATCAGCGACCTTTTCCAGAGGGAGAGATTCTCGATGTGGTGAGCGGTGGGAGGGCGCCGGGGAGGGCCGGGGGAGAGCGGGCTTGGCACCGGGCTGGAAGTGCCGCAGCAAGCGCGGGCTGCGCGTGCGGCCGCCTTCTTGGACGGGCGATGCGCTGCGGGACTGCGGTCTGTTGGGAGGCGATGCACCGCATGAGAGCTGGTGCAGTGCCTTGACTTGACGTGGGCGCATTATCTCCGTGCGGAGCGTGTGTGTGTATCTGTGTTTGTATGGGTGGGGTGGGGTGGGGTGTTTGGGGGAGTGCGCGGGAGGGTGAAATGCAGTGGACAGAACCACCTGGCCGCTGTCAGCATACCTGCCGCGCCGACCTCGCCATTTTGACCAGGTGCCAGCGGTCTGGTTAGCACAAGTGTTCTGGTGGCAAGCTGTTCTGGGGTCAAGAGAAAACGCAATGAGGTCGGGGCATTCTGGCGAAGCGCAGCTTGCTGGGACAACAGTATGAGCATCAAAGCAACTCGTGATGTGCACTGAGAGAGTACACTATCTGCTTGATGAACTGTCCTTTGTTTTTCTGCCCAATGGATCCTGGAACAATGTTGCCACGTCCTGTGTGCTCCAAGTTTTGGTGGCTTTGGCAGCTGCGTTGTGGTGCAGTCAACCTCCAGCGTTGGATCGTGGAAGAAGGTTGTCATCTTGGACCATCTCGAAGTTCCAGCTTTTACCATCTCAAAACCCCTCTTGCTCGGGTACCAGAAATCGAATTGTGCTACTGAGTAGTCCGGCGTCCGATGAGTGCTGAATATTGCCAGCGACCATGAAAGTGCACCCATTGTACCCATTACCCTGGAACTTATGGTACTTGCTTGCAGTGTTGCTTATCAGTGGTATGTCTGCAGGTTGGTTTATGAGCAAGGTGCATCATCAAAGGAGGAGAAGCCTCTGGATTCTGCTCGAGGTTCGAAGACTGGAAAACCTCCCCCCCATCCACAGAGCCAGTCTGGGGTGAATGGGCAAACGAGCAGTGCCGCCAGGCAGAATTGTAGGCCAAAAACAGAGACCAAGGGAAGAAGCCCATTGCCACAAGACATTGTGCATATTGACCCCTTGGATAGCATAGGGTCACTGAGTGAGAGTGAAGCACTGGCTGAGGAGAGAAGTACTGCAGCTTCAGGCCGGCAGAAGACAGCTCTCGATACCCTCAGCACTATTGGCTCCGATGAGAACTGGGACGAATTTGATCGGAAGCCAACCGTCATCAACACTTTCGACGACGTCGCAGCTATGGTGCAACCGGGGTTGTTCATTGGAGCCTTTCTTGCTGAGCAAAACAGGGTTGAACTTGAGAAGAAGGGGATCACACATGTGCTACAGGTTGGTTGTTTCTGTCGATGCTGATGTTGCTCTAATGGAGGGTTGTATGGCGATTTCCAGTCCTCACAGCGGTTGGTTGCCATGAGGTGTGCGCTGGGATGTGCAGATGTCCAGATGTGTGTCTAGAGGTAGAAACGTCAATCAGTTAGAAAGCCACCTACAAACAAAACGGGTTAAGACCATTGATGGTGGCATGCAGCTGCTGCTAGCTGATGTGAATCTTGGTTGCCCTATATCTCTATGTTTCCGGTGAACAACAGATTGCAGCGGCCCCAATTGCGATTGAGGAGCCCCCAAAGGGAACGCAGCTAGATGGCCCGAACAACAGATTGCAACAGCCCCAATTGCGATTGAGGAGCGCCCGAAGGGAACACAGCTAGATGGCCCAGACTGTGCATTGCCTTGGGCAAGGTTGAGTTTTACATTTGCTGTCAAGAGATCAGCAGTCCACAAACTCCAGCACGTTTTCTTGCACGGACAACTGGTGGCCTTTGGTATATGGCTCAGTCCCTGTTGGGTTGATGTGCAGGTTGGTGATAACCTGGCGCGAAGTTATGAGGGAGTGTTTCATTACCACACCATCAGTGTCTCAGACACTGAATCTGCTGATCTGTTGCTCCATTTCAACGAGTGTTTTGAGTTCATCGACGCTGCACGAAAATCTGGAGGTGTGCACTGCTTTGCTGCTAAGTTTGTTGCGTGCTTGCTGTTGCCTGTTTTGCTCACAAAAACCCCTATGCAGGCTATTGCCAACCTGATGCATAGAGGAATCTGCCAAAGATTGTTGCATTTGCAGCTTTCTGGACTGTTGCCTGAATTGAGTAGAATCGTCTTTCCTGCTAAACGTTGGGATCGATCGAGGTGCAGACTGTCTTGTTGTGATTCTTTGGCGCTGCTTGGACAACGTATTTGTTTGTCCTTCTGATGGCTTGTAGATGCTGCTTAAGGTTCAATAATGCCCTGCACCTCCAGAATGCCGAGCAACAGCATCGTCTCGGTGTGCAGCAGCAACCTTCAGCTATTGATCCACACGTACGTGCCTTTGTTCAGGTGGCGTTTTGGTCCACTGTTTCGCTGGCATCTCTCGATCGGCAACTGTGTGCATCGGTTACTTGATATGGAAGCTCAACCTGAGTCTTGGGGCGGCATACAGTTTAGTGGAGAGTGCCCGAAGTTGCACGCAGCCCAATGAGGGATTTCGCAAGCAACTTCAGGTGTTTGAGAACTTGGGTGGTGACCTTGACTTGCTGGAGCAGTGGTGTTCGCGCAACAAGGGCTTCAACTTCAGTGACTTGTCTTCGGACCCGTCGGGCAGGGATATGGACTCCGATGACTTCGATTTGTGAGCAGTGCTTGTCGGAGCTATGTGTGGGGCATCTGCTCAGTTGTTTCAAGAACGAGATTGCTTTGTGTCTGCGATTGCTGCCTGAATGATGCTGGTGCCGATTGGTGTGGATTCGTATCTGGCAAGGATGGGTGTGGCCTGCATCTGGTGGTCGTAAGTGGGGCCGATGGAAACAATAGACTAGGGGGCAATGTGCTGGTGGTTGTGAATTCCTGCCTAAGCACATGTGTGAGTTGGGACTTGGACTTATCGCCTTGTCCAACATGGTGCTTGCCATGGAGGTGTATTCCTCAAACCAGCTATGCAAGGCGCTGGTGCCACCTTTGGGGTTGACTGATAGCAGTACAACCCTGCCGTGTGTACCGTGCCAGGAGGCCAGGAAATGTTGTTTCGGTGCCATTAGCCAACAAAGGAGCGCAACACTTGCAGTATCAATAGTGACTTGTGCTGATCGTTGAGGAGGGGAACTTGCATAAAGGAGCAGTGTAAATGGCAAAAAGAATGGTGGTGATTGGTTGAGTAGGACAGAGAGGGTTGGCAACACTTCGCAGTGAGCGAACGCAAATCAGAATTGCAGCAGGTTAGGCCAAGCTGTGCCTTGTGCCATGGCCACCCTGATGCATGTTCTGAATGAAATTAGCACCAGCATCTCCATTGTGGTACCATCATTGGAGTAATGCCACAGTTCGGTTTGGAATGATGGGTGGTTGGCGCAAGACACAAGGCAGTGGACTGGAGAATATGCGAGTATGTGCGCATGTATATGTGTGTTCCATCAGCAGTGTATGTATCATGCGTTCCAAGGTGCAAGGGGCGGCTGTGGTGCGATCTTGTAGTGAATGCGGGAAAATGAGCTCGATGAACAAGACGAGTATTCAACTCATTCTGTTGGGGAGGTCTGGCCCATCTGGCCCCAAGTCTGCAGTGATATTTATTCAGGAAGTCATGCTTACGAGCACTCCTCAGCGGATGGGACAATTTTGAGCGTCCCAGGTTCCAGCACACCATCGCTATTTCTTTGGACTTTGACAGTAGGCAGTTGGTATGCGGTATTGGTCGCCATTGGAAAGCGTCGATCGAGGTTGTCCGGAGCGGAGCCAATGTGTCCGAGAGACAAGACGGCATCTCGTTTTGTCGGTCGATGTAAAACACGAGTGTGTACTGCAGGGCATGATCGTTGTCTGCAAGGCCGGGGGTGAGGAAGTTCAGTTTGTCGATGTTTTGGGATGCCAAGGGAGAGGAGAATCTTTTTTGTATCTGTTATTTGAACTGCTTTGGCTGTGCCACTCTGTGATCCTTCAAGTTTGGCACAGCTTCAGGCAATGTAATGAGAATAAGGTTGGAAATCTGTAAGCGTCAATGCAGCGGGGCCGTAAGGGGACAGGTGTAGTGCCCAACGGGGGCGTTGCGAATGGAGCCCGAAGCAACAGCTGCAGGCTACGGGACCGCGCACAGCAAATCGATGCCATTCCTCATTCACGACACGGAAAGCAGTACAAGCGAATGCGGTTGCTAGGAACTCAGGAATTGGAGCACGCAAGCCAAAGATGTGCGCCGATATGCGCCACAGTGAAGCTCTGCATGCAGCCAGCAATGGAGTATGGTTGTGTCAGGCAAGTCCACCATAGCTGCGTTCGTTGTGTGGCGGCAAGATGAGGGAACAACTCGAAACGGTAAGTACAAAAGGCTTATTAACGGATGTAGATGATGCGTGATGAACCCACACGACTTTGAAAACCCGTCTGACATCCAAAATCAAAACAACAGCACACTCCCGTTCACGCCAGAAAAAAAGACAGAGCAGTCTGCTGCCGGACATCTTCCATGGCCTGTGAGCCATTTTGCTGCCATCATGAACATATAAAATGCAGCTCCCTTCACATCAAAGTGGGCCCTGTTGACTCCTGCTGGGCTCCACCACCCCAGTCGCCCTCCCTGTGGGCAGCCAACCCGTGGGTGCAGAACCAGCTGGAGTGACGATGGCAGACCGCAAGTGTAGCCTGGCAGCTGCAACTGCCCCATTATTGTTTTCCACGGTGCCCTGTCCATCGCGACTGTGCGCCCAGGCTGGACAGCTGCATTTTCTCACAACAGCATCGCGCTTCGCGCCGTCATGGCCGTTGTAGGTAGAGAGTCCGAGTCTAACTGAATATTTGGAATATGAGGCCACCCTTGAGCGCTTCCGAAGCAAAGAAGGGAGCAAACACAAGGGACTCGACCGCCATGAGCTTCACCAGGATGTTGAGCGAGGGACCGGAGGTGTCCTTCAGGGGATCTCCGACCGTGTCACCAATGACAGCGGCCTTGTGGGCCTCAGAACCCTTCCCTCCAATGTCTTTCGCATGCTCGCACGCTCCCGCCTGCGCACAGGCGAAGCGTACATGCTCATTCACAACATCCCGACGGGCAAATCTGCCACTAGCGCGGTCTTTCATTGGTGTACAAGGCGCCCAAATTGCCGGCCATCTTTGGGCTTCAAACGCGCGAAAATATCTGAAGGTGTGAGCATTGCTGCGTGTTGCGCGTTTTTCACCATGTGGCGGCTGTTCTTCTGATTGATTGGTTGGCTGGTGCGCTGCACTCAGCTGTGCTGCAGATTGGTGCACCGAAGGATGCGTTTGCTTGCAGCGAAGGCAGCAGCCCTCTGGAGGAGACACTTCGCTTAGGACAGTCTACTCCACTCCGGGACAGCCTGAGCCCGTCCGTCGAAAGTCGGGATTTCCCTTCAGGATTCTCCCCTTGCTCTTATTGTCAAGTACTGACAGGGTTTGTCCGTTTTGGCAAGCTGCAGTTAGCCCCTGGATGGCGCGCGTGTGGTTCGGTTACCGCTTTGCAGCGCGATTAGCCGCGTTGGCTCACCTCCAGATACTTCTTTGCGTTGTCCCACGCCCCGCCCGTGTTGGACATGGACACCGCCATCTGCACGCCCGACACCAGCGCGCCCACCAGGACACCAGCCAGCATGTGCGTCCCAAACAGGACACCAACCGCGATGGGCGTGAGCAGGACCAAAGCGCCGGGAGGGATCATTGCCGTCAGAGAGGCGTGGGTGGATATCTCTACGCAGCGGGAATAGTTGGGCTCCCCTTCGCCCTCCATGATGCCATTCGTCCGGAACTGCTCCCGAACTTCACTGACCATGGCGAGGGCGGCTTTGCCGACTGACTTCATGGTGAGGCTGCTGAACCAGTAGGGCAACATGGCGCCCACCAGGAGCCCGCTGAACACCTGCGGCAAAGTTACAGCGTTTCAGCTGCCATTTGCGCGCTCGCCAAGGGGCAAATCAATTTCGGCCGGCACCGCAGCCGAAATGCTCTTCATTGTGCGCTCATACGATGGCATCGAGGCCTGACGGAGCATCACAGAGGAGGGCGTTTGAAAAACAGTCTGTGCGTACCCTTCAAAGCAGAACATGTAGCCATCCACACAAGAAGCAAATAACAGGCGAGTTGCATCCAACACAGGGAGCAGCGGTGGCGTTCTCAGTGTAAAGAACAGCTGAATCCCGAATACGGAGCTGAACGCGGCCCTGCTTGTGTGGCTGTGGAGCATGCTGGGCACGGCCGGCAGCGTGAAGCAGGGATAATTGCGGTACAGTGGGATCCGCGTCACAACCTCTGGGTTGTGCGCCCTAGTGACTCAACCACCGGATGCTGACTGAGCGATGGAGGACCAGAGATGGGCGAAGTGCGCGGCACTGAGCTCCTCACCCGGGCATTCAGAATGGACGCATCTGCCACGTCAATCCCCGCCCTTGTGACGAAGGCTCCGAACAACGCCAGAGACACGAGCGCCGCCGATCCAATGGCGAAGCCCTTCCCGATGGCGGCCGTGGTGTTTCCAGCAGCATCCAGAGCATCCGTGCGCTCACGAATCTCGGGGCTCATGCCCGACATCTCGGCAATTCCCCCCGCATTGTCGGAGATAGGGCCGTATGCATCGATGCCGAGACCTGCGGGCGGCGCACACACGGTCGTGGGCCTCGGAAGCCAAGTCCGTGAACCCCTCGGTGCACGGCCGCTGTGCTTGCAAGCCACAAAGATGTCTGGCACCTCATTTTGCATCAAGAAACAATGCAGGGGCTCTTCCTGATCACATTTCACAGCATGTTGAATCCACCAAAGAGACCACTTGTGCCGATAGAGGCTCGCAATTGACCAGGCCCTACTTACATGATGGAAGAATCGACAGCATCCCGAGGGCAGCGCAGGCGATGCCAAACATGCCAGCCAACGTGAAACTCACGTAGATGCAGATAGCAATCATGAGGCACGGAACGATCGCGGATTTGTAGCCAAGCGCAAGGCCAAATATCACATTTGTTGCTGCTCCCGTGCGACACGAGTCCGCCACGTCCTGCGCGAACAATGAAGACAGTCACGAGGGTTATCGTGAGCATGAGCCAACGCATGGCACACAGCGAATGTCGAAAACCCGCCGAAAACCCGCAACACAATGGCCTGTTTTTACATAACACTTGCAAATGCTTTGAGACACTACGGAATTCTCATACCAATACTGCCTTTGTCGTCTATTCCAACCACCTGCCCATCTCCCATGCCAGCCCACAAAATGTGCTGGCCGCTTCACCGATGTTTCAAGCCCCTTGGCTGCTCACCCAGGGGCAAGCATTCATTCGATGTCCCATATGTCGGAAGCACGAAGCACGCACCAATACGCGAAGTATGGTATATTTAGGTGCTGGACGGCGGCTGCCAACGCCAGTGCAGATAGCGCTTGTACCGGTCAACAACCACCCTGGAAGCCTTAGCTGCTGCCATGCAGGTATGACAGGCAAATGCGGGCGCACAGGGGCACCTGTCCCTGTCGCCCATCCTGGCCTATGTCCATGAAGCAAAAGCAAAGAACTGAAGGCACATGCACTGGCGTGCAACACGCGTTCCCAACAGCGGGCCGCTGCACATACCTGAACTCCCCTGTACCTGTTGCTCGTGTAGTACTCAGTCGAAATCCCAATGATCAAACCACTCCACAACCCCGCGGCAACGCATATGAACATGTACCAATTCCTAATGGTCTTCATGCCGCCGCTTCCGGGATGCGGCAGATCGAACTCGGCAGGCAGGGCCATGGCAGTGACGCCGTAAATGACCTGCCACACACCCACAGAGCATGTTCGGAATTGCGCTCAGACAGCGCCCCTGGCAGAATCGCACTGACAAAGCGTTGAAAGCAGGTAGCTCCCAGCTCACACACATCTGTCGCCGGGCACACCCTCTCGGGAAACGCGGGCACAGCATTTCCTGATTGGTATTGCAGCAGCATACCCGCTTTGCCGAAGGGCATTTGGGGCCTACGGTTCGGTGATTCTGCGCCACTACACTATCCGCCATTTTTGCACAACAGCGCCACCCTCGTTGGCAGCTGCATTATTGCACAAGACGCTGGCAGGTGCGATTTAGCCCGTCGATAAAATTCTCCTTCACAGTCCAGGCCAAGCGGAGCAGCGCAAGGCCGCATGGAAGGCTCAGACAGCAAATCGCGCCAATCCACTGCTGGCGAGAGCGTACCGGGGTCATGAGCAATGAAGATATGATGAGCTGCATCTTCAGCACATCCTCGATTTCGCTGGATTTCCTTGCAGGCCATAAATCTGTTGCTGCAAATGTGGTGATAAGGCATACGAATATGCCAAAGGCTGATATCAACAACGGATACAGCATGGCCAGCCAGCTGTGCTCGCAATCATCTTCACAGTCGATGCGACTGGCGTACGTGGCAAAGGATGACACGACAAGGGCAGCACAAGTTGCCTCGGCGAAAGATCCGAAGAGGTCGGCCCCCATCCCTGCGATGTCGCCAACGTTGTCTCCCACATTGTCTGCAATGCACCGCGAGACGCATGCTCAACAAAACAGCGGCCGATGATCACGCATCAGCATTCGCCGAAACTGCATTAGACACGCTGAATTAGGAGCCATGATGAAGTGTACTGGATGCCATATCGGATAACGACTGGGAAGAGTCCAAATCATGAGATAGCCGCCACTTCGGATGGTTGTCAAATGGTGCTTAGAAGCATCTTGAAATCCTTGCAGATCTTGCGTCGTCCAACCACCAATTCCGTGGCTTTGTGTGGCAACTGCGACTCATTGTTCTCGGGGAGCATGGTCTTCACGACGCCAAGCCACCATTTGCGTCCATGCCTCACCACATGACATCTGCGTGTAGTTACCGTTAAAGCTTCGATTCGCTGCGAATTGTCAGACTGTGGCAAAATGTCGCAAGACATCAGGAGCACACCTGGCAGTTTCAATCAACCAAACCTACCAGCAATCACTGCGGGATTCCGTGGATCATCTTCTGGAATGCTCTCTTCAACTTTTCCAGCCAGATCAGCGCCGACATCAGCTGCTTTTGTATATATTCCTCCCCCCACTCTGCCAAAGAGGGCAACTGAGGAACCTCCGAGACCGTAACCCGCTATGGCTTCAAAGAGGTAGTCCCACGAGCTCCCGTAATACTGCCACGACAAAAGAAATGTCACAAGATGAGCTCTCACATGCACGGCAAAGGAGGTCCGCAGGAGTCGCCCACGGCAATATGTTTCGTTTTGGCTGTAAGGCAAACGGAGATTGCCTAGAGATGTCAATCGAGGATGCACGCCCAAATCGGCCCAAATTGACGAATTCCCTAAAGCACACGTTGCTGGGGACTTCCAAGCTGCGGCCGTTCTTGTGGTGGCTAGGCCCCTGGCGCGCCAGATTCTTCATGGCGTACTGTTACGGGAGGTAGCCGGGGTGGGAATCCATACTACAACGTGGAATTCGGGGAGTGAGTGTACGCATCTCCTCCCGTCGCTCATCCAACAGCACTTGGAACGCGCACAATTCCACGAAGTTTACGGATCACCAACGTGGGTTTCAAGAAACCCACACACGGGCGTGCGCGCAGCATGGAAAGTACTACCTCGGCCGGAGAAAACGGCCTTCCGCTTACCAATCTGAACAGCACGATGGCCAGGTACGCCATGAGAAGCCCCATGCCCGGCAGCAGGAATCCCATCACCGCTCCAGAGCGAAAGGCTGTGCAACAGGTTACGATCCCAGTGAGTCATCCAAGCCCTGGCATTGGTGCAGACGACGTCGCGCACCTCGCCCGGTTTAGTGGATTTTGAGTTCAGCGGCGGACGGCCGCTGCGCCCGGTGGGACATCGACACTGTGATACGATCCACATGTAGTACAGTCGTGTGTTGCACAGCGCGGACTAAGCCGGAGTCAGCGAGTACTTCCAGCCAATCTGACCAGGCCTGCGAGAGCTGGCGCGGCGGCCCGAAACCGCATCCGCTGGAACTTTCGAGTGTCGCGATCTTGTCGCGCGGCCGCGTGGTTGGGTGCCACACCCCGACAGCTCCCAAGGATTGGCGCGTCGTCGGACGCCGCCTGCGTTCCTCCCCCCGACGGAAGAGGAGAGCAGGCGTCCGTCCAGAAACCGCGGCCCACCGCGTATCTGGGTTGGACGGAGTTCCGCCCAGTGGAAGCAAAAGGGGTGTTCGGCCGGCAGTGCGCAGGCTCGCCCGGCGGATGCAGAGGCGCGCGTGCGAGCAGGGAGCGCTCACCGCACATGAACGCCGGGGCGATGCCCTTCCTCGCCTCCGCCGTGGTGCGCGCGTTCGCGAAGGTGGCTATCCTCATGCCCAGATAGCCGGACAGAATGGACGTCCCCGCCCCAGCGAGGAACGCGATGGTCGAGAAGAGCCCGTTCCAGAAGCTCGGCAGCTTGTCTCCCGACTGGCGGTCCCACGCGACGTGGAAGATGTTCTTCACGCCGTCCTCGGCGGCCAGGAGGAAGAAGATGACGAACGAAAAGCCGAGCTGCGGGGTGGAACAGCGGGCGGCCGTCAGAAACACAGCCGTGCGCGCACAGCCAGGATGTGCGCTGCTGCCCTCTGCCGGACCTTTCCCCTGCCAGGCGTGTCGATCGACCGTCCACGGGGGCGGAAGCAGGAAAGTGAAGATGAACGCGACGGCCCACAATCGCACAGGATGCACAGCGCCCTCGACGACTGCATAGGGATCCTTTCAGCAGTGCGGCGACCCCAAAGGTGTCAACTGCGAACCAGCCAGGACTCAAGCGCCGCCCGCGCCGACTGGAGCCCCTCGCCACGCACCACGAACAGTGACAGGTATAAGTACTGCGTCCTCAGGAAGGAGCTGGCGCCGACGCTGATCGCCTTCTGTATGTCGATCGCCCGCAGGATCATCTGCCCAAACAGCACAGCACGACATCATCACAGTCCCGAAGCCCCTCGCCGCGCCCCTCGCGCCTTCCGGCCCCCGCCCATTCGGCTCCTGACCCTGCGGGACACTCGGGCGGGCGTCACGCCCGACATGGCAAGTCCCCAAAGCAGCCCACCGCCGCGCACCTCGTCATCTCCCCTCTGCTCCTCCTCCAGCAGATAAGATCCGTCGTTCTCTGCGTTCGGCGCGCGGCGCAGCGGCTCCAGCCGAAGGCGGGCGACCCGCACCCACAGCCACACGGCGAAGGCGACAGCAACCGCGCCCGCGATGGGAATCACGGCCGTTATCCAGTCGGGCGCCATTCCGAACGCAGCCGCGCGGCCAGCCGCTGGGACGACTTGGGGATTCCGGAGGACGAGGGGTCGGCGAAATCGGGACTGCGCCTGCGCTCCGGACAGCCGCCTCGGTGTCGCGACGGCTGCTGCGGGGGCCTTGGGCTGTCCCGCCACTAACGTGGCGCCCTCGCGGGCGAGGCTTTGGCAACACGTCAGCGTCCCCCCAGCTTGCCGAATCTGAGTACGGCCGTCGCCCGGCGCAACCAACAGGGCCCACGTAGTGAGGGGCGGGGTCCACCTGCCGTATCTCCGTATCCGGCGATACAGTCGCGTCGCACAGTGCGCACGTCTACGCTCACTTCGCGCAGAACCGAATCTTGCGCCAGTCGCTGAGGCCGCGTGGCCCGCCAAACAGCCCCGCCCGGCGCGGACGCCTTCGCAGTGATATGTGCGCTCGAGCGGCGAAGGGGAAGCAGCAGAGCGGAAAAAGTTTGAAGACCGCTAGATGGTGCGCAAGACAAAGTAAATTGCAAAACAGATGCACAACAAGCGTGTTGCACACAACGGCATGGGTTGGCGGGGAGTGGTCCTGTCAGTCGGCGTTGGTTTCTGTCGGTCGACGTTGGTCTCTGGACCGTGGTCGCCCCCGTCAATCTCTGCACGCGTCCCGACCGGCGAGCCCAGATCACCTGCCGTTTTTGTGGCGCCGGGAGGCCGCGCCAGGCGTCTGCTTTGCTCTCGGGGGGCGCGCTGGGCCGTGATCATCAAACCGCGCTGCGGTGCGCGTAGGAATCCGGAAATGCACGACAGGGAGCGGTGGGACGGTCGAATTCAAGTCGCGCACACGGCCCCGTGTGCGCGTCGCCGCGAAGGCGTCCACGCCGCTCGGGCGACTGGACAGACCGCCGGGGCTGGGCGACTAAGGCACAACGTTTCGACTGCGAGACCTATGGTCGTAGAGGGGCCTGGCTGACAGACCATATCGCCGGATGCTGTGATACCACAAGTCCACAAGCGGCGTCTGACGAGACGCCACTGGACGCCGGCTGAGAATCTCGCCTGCAGCGCCCACCAACCTCGGGTGGTTGGCCCCCGCAAGATGTCTGGTCGCATCCCCAGAGCCCCCCGCCTCCAACCAGTGATAAACTCGGTGTTAATCCCTTTTTCCTTTGTTGCAGTCAATCCGGTTGAGGCAGTCAGGCCAACGCATAGGTGGCAATGAAATGGCCAACCCGCACCGTGCTCTTTTCCTCTTTGGGCCGGGGTATGACAGCGGCAACCTTGGTTTTGGCGGTTGGCCTGTATTGGGTGCCTGAGGACCCACTGGGCAGATATGGACCTGTCGGTCCACAAACTGCGTTTCGACGTGGGCTGGGGAATCAGTGCACTCTGGGCATACTGTGGACGGCAGCCGAGGGTTTGTTTTAGATGCATAGCCGTTGCAGGTCTTTTACAAGCTCGGGAGGCAGCCTCCTACTCTAGGAGAGCCCAACGACTGCCAGTTGGCTTCTCATTTTCCCGCTTGCCCATCTCCTAAAGCGTGAGCGTGACTTTGGATTGAATGGCTTCAGAGTACAAGGCTCAGTAATTTGGTTCTTATGTGGTTCATGTCATGACAAGCTGAGTTGACACTCGACGGGCATTGCTTCAACTGGCGCTGGTGATGGGGACACACGGTGGAAACATGCATTCTGCATGCTGTCTGCAACAGACTTGGCTGTTGCGTCCATCGGTGGGGAAAAAGATTTGGGCAAGCAGAAACATATCATACGATGGGCACGTCCCTCTTGTACAAAAGGATGGCCATACTATTATCAGCAGATCAGTAATGTTAAAGATGATGCAGAAGCCTACAAAACACAGAGCGACAGCACGCAACCCAGAACAGCGTTGTACAACACACATGTGGGGTGTTGCACGTGTGTAACGTGCACTGCAACAAGCCATGCACTGAGGGGAAGGGAGGAGGCTCAAATCCTCTGATTACATTTGTCACATAAACATGACAAAGCGCTGCCCTTGCACATTAAAGGCGATGTTGAGCATGAACTCCATACCAGTGTGGGGGGGAGGCAATTGTGGATAACGTCCACCAACTGTAGTGCAAGGACCCCACAAATATTTGGGGTCGCGCGACGCCACGTGGGGAATATCGCTGGGCGTGACGCCATAGGTTGGGGGTTTAAAGGAACCTGCTTGGCGGGGGAAGGCGTCACGCGACCAAATATAACCGAGAGAGTCTCTCAACCACACACAACAACGAGTTCACACCAGATGCACTGTCCAGCAGCAAATAAATGGCGTCCTGCATCCACTCGTCTAGGATCCCACATCACAATCCCTAGACCCCACTCCCAATCAAAATTTGTTAGACTGGATGAAGCATCCTGCATATCCTGAACTACAATGCCCACTGCCTAATCCAGGGCAATGCAATGCCCTTTCACCTGCCAAGTGAAGCTAGGGGTTAGAAGCCAAAACAGAAAAGTAAGTGGCTTGTTGCTCCATAGGGCCCGAATTTGCCATCCTGGCGCAGCACGCTCCCGTAAGCCTCTCCTCCCTGTTTTGTGGAAGGACATTGGACTACTTGTAGCAAGCCACTGACTGTGCTGTGCTGCACTTTGGACCAAGAATGCAAGGGTGTTTGCAGTCATACGGGAGGCAAGTTCTTTGCCAAGGATTCCTTGATTCCCAGGCAACACAGCAGTCATAGGGACATTACAACAAATTGTTGAGCAACCCCCCTTTTGCAACATTTTTGGAGCTGCTATGAGCGCCATGATAACTCATGAGATGCTCGGACCTAGAACGACGTATGTATGTACTTTTCTGATTGGTTCTAATACTGTGCAGCATGGTTGTGGTTGCAGAACAACATTTGTACACCAGGCTGCGCTGAGCCCCCGAGCACCAACAAAATCTAGATGCATTGAACACGGAGTGGCTACAATCGACCAGCGATGTTGTGGAGCTACTGGGGGCCAGGCAGTAAATGATGTTTTCTGCAGCTGCATTACGTAATCTCGATGGATCATCCTTCTCTATGGTTTAATTATGATTTCCTGGTTCCAATGCATCTTTCAGCACTCAATTCTATGAAGTATGGAGGAAGATACGGCCTTGTGAAGACACAGTACTTAGAGGCCAGGTGCTGGGTGGGGATGGTTGGAATTAGAGCTAGATTAGGTTGATTATAGGTGACGGGGGCGCTGGGACACGGTCCGTACATTACATTGAGCTGTCATGTCTGACGTGACGCGATGGACCCGCGACCGGGCATCGCGCAGGCACATGGATGTGCGCATCGCGCAGGTCAGGCTGTAACCGCATTCGGCCCCACTCGCTGCCCCGCCGCGAGGCAGCGAACCGCTGTCCGCCGCCGCGATTCCACCGCCTGCACACGGCAGGCTTTGGGGAAGGTCCCCGAGCGTCCAAGGGCCCACCGCGCTACCGAACAAACGAGCACCCCGGCAACGCCCGCCGGAATCCGGCAGAGAGGCGCGGCATCGAGGCCGCGCCATCGGGTGCGGCGACCGCCCCCAGCACTCCGGAAACCAGCGGCCGCCCGCGGGCCGCAACAAGCGACGTCTCCCCCAGCGCCCATTCTAAGCAATACTTCTTCGATAGAGGACACAATACGAACGAGTCAACTAAATTGCAAGTATTCTCGCTAAATACATGAGGTATTACTTCCTCCGTCCAAGATTAATTGCCCTCTATGACTTTGCCGCCCTATATCTCCTTCACAGATGCTTCATTTTTCAATGAAATCTGTGCCAATGGTATGCCTATGTTTTGGGAATATATGGTCGAAATTTCAGGTCAATCCGTTTAGTATTGAGGATTTGGCAGCACTTTGTAGTAGGGTCCTCCCGCCAGAAACCCACCCGTTTTTCAACAAAGTCACCGGAACAACCGTTTTTCGCGATGGTGAGGAGCACGACTTTGCGGCGGCCAAACAAGACTGCCCATGCAAAACTATCCATGCCATTTGGACAGAAGCTTGGAGGGGTCCCTGCGTGCAACCAAAGAGACAGAAAACGTGTCTTGGTGGGCTTGATCATGGAAGTCGCCGTGGCTTCGCTGACCTAATTCGAGATCGATTGGCTAGTTCGGGGTTGCATTCCCGGCCCAGATTCCTGGGCCGTGACCTTTGGAACTCCATCGTTGCTGTGAGAGATACTGCGCAAGGCCCCCCAAGCCCCTTGAAGAGGTGCGAAGGAATGTGATGGCCATCACCCTAATGTATGGGAGGCGTGTGGCTATCGGTGCGGCGGCTGCGGTGCGCCATGTCCACTTGCGCTCGAGGGGCGCTTTCCCGGCGCGATCCCACGTCGTCATGGCGGTCTCGGAAAGTCGTGGGTGTGTCTGGATGTGATGGTGATGGTGTGGTGGGAGTCCAACAAGGGCCCTCGCCGAACCGGGCGCCACTTCCAAAGCGCAACGGGGGTTAGAGGCGCGGCTTTCTGAAGCTGTTCCCATGGTGCCCAGCACCCGATCATGCTTGTCGCGTGTTCCTTTCATTTGATCATGTGGGCGCATGCGAGGCCGTGCACCAATGGTGCAAGTTGAAACCATCAAGAACAGCAAACCAAAACTTAAGTTGCCTTCCGTGTGTGGCTGTGCCGCGAAGCGGCTGTATAGCCCCGCAATGGCGCTTAAGGATAGCCACCGGCGTGGCGATCGCT